AATAGTAATAACAGTGTAATAATAATAATAATAATAATAATAGTAATAATAATAATAATAATAAAACAGTAGTAATTGAGTGCGAGTTACATGCAATGTCACGCTTTACACAAAAAAGCTCAAAAGTATAAATTGTTTATGAATTCTTTGTTTTCACGTTTCTCAAATGACTTGACCGATTGTTAAATCATGGAAGTGAAATGATTCAGTGTAGTTTTTAGCAATTTCATTCCTATCATTGTTATCAGTGTTATCAGCAAATTTATTTATTTATCCGATTATTTTCCTAGAAAAAAGATTTGCAATTAAACGAATTGATGAATAATTATAGGTCAAAGGTCTACCGGTTTCTTATGATTTTGGCTATAATTAAATTTCTAACGCATAAAATAAATGAATTCAAGAAAATAATATGCTGTTCTCAATAGAAAAAAAAAAGAAAACAGGAAAGGAGCATTAATAGTAATGCTAAAAGAGGTTGAATAAGTTTTAGGATAACCTTTAACCTTCATGATAAAGCAGAATACAATTGCTTTAAGTGAAAGATAAAATCGTTGATTGTTGTTTTTAACTGATAATTTGCCTACCCACTGTATATGTTTGTTTTTTGTTACAACAAAATCGTATAATTAATAAGATAACAAGTATTCCAGATGTAATTAGGATAATTGAAGTGAGAAAAATATGAAGCCAAGTATTCATGATAAGTGACCATATCATTGATAAAGATTTTCTCTCGGAATATTGTAGAATTTGTCCATAACGATTCACCATAAATGTTAAACCATAAAGATAATTAGCACTGGTAAAGAGTGACTCTGAAATTAATTAACATTTTTTTTGTTTTCTATTTGAAATATATTTTTTAAAAATTTAAGAAAATTTAAAACATCCATGGAAAAGAACATAATTATTATTAATTCAATTTGAGAATAATGATAGGGTAAAACTTTTAAAAGTAAATATTTTTTTTAGCAAATTACAAAATATCATTTTAACAACTCTATCATCCTAAGGATGTGTAGTAATAGACTTTATTATTTTAAATAAGTATAGTAGTAATGGTGATTATGGCAGCAGTACTTTGGTATCGATGATATTCATTAAATTGGAACACCCATATACTTCTCGTTTTTTTGGCTTGGAAAATATAATTACTGAAGTAAATTAATATCTCTTCCCTTACTGTTTTCATATTTCAAATAGTATTTTCAATTTCCGAATTCGATTCAATCATTCAATGTTCAATTATTTATTTTTGAAAATTTATTGTTATTTAAAGTTATTTATTACTATTATTTATTATTATTATTATTATTATTATTATTATTATTATTATTATTATTATTATTATTATTATTATTATTATTATTATTATTATTATTATTATTATTATTATTATTATTATTATTATTATTATTATTATTATTATTATTATTATTATTATTATTATTATTATTATTATTATTATTATTATTATTATATATATATATAATTATTAT